GAGCGCCTGTGTGTAATTTGCTTTTCTGGTTAACTTATGAGGCATTTATGAAAAGAGGTAGTCAGTCATAAAGGACTCGTTTTTACTTCAGCAAGATGCTATAATAATTGCTTTTTTTCCTAGTACTTATTTTTTTGTCTAAATTTGGTTCTTTATTTTTAGGGCTATGAGGGTTCTCTTATAAAGCTCACGTCTAAGCAGGTAAGAATTTTAAACTTGCATATAAATGATCACTTCTACAATAAGTTTGAATTGACTTTCTTCAGGAACGTTCCTGTGGTTTAACATTCTTTATTCCCATTAGGGTTTTATTTTGTTGTTGTTTTAAAATTAAGGGTGAGATTGGTTAGAAATTAGCACAGGAAAATGATCTGTAATTCTGTAGTCTCCTGCTAGGATGGCTGGAACTGTCCCTAACAGAGGCAAACCTAATGCATCCAGCATAGTTATATTGGGATTTACCTGTATATTGAAAAGTAAAGATTAATTATATCCAAATTAATTTTTATTCACAATTCTGTCCTGTTTTTTGTGGGGTTTTTTAATGTTAAACAGGCAAACGTTCACAGTTGGTATGAGTATCTGGTGATGAAGACACATGTCTGTTAGACCCCTAATGGAGGGTGGTAATCAGTGACCCTGATACTGCCGGCAAGCTTCTTGAAAATTTCCAGCTATATTCATTTTTTTTTAATGCTGAGCACTCAGCAGCTCACCTCCCAATCTCTATTAGTCACTCAATAAGGTGTTCTCTATGTTGTGAGCATCCTTTTGGTGGACTGAAAGATACTGAGTCCAAAGGGGTTATGACCCTTCTCTCTTTAGTTAGAACAGTATGGTTTACACACCTAATTAAACACAGGGCTTTTTAAAGGCATCCCTTGGGATTTGCGATGGAAATGTTCATTTTATAATTTCGATCATGCAGTGAGAGTACAGGGCTTCTGTCATTGTGTCATTTTATTTCTTGCACTTACAGCGTACCAAAAAGTGATTTGGTTCTTTCCATTTTAAAAGGTGAAGAGACCAAGGTACAGTGAATTCGATTTAGGAACGTAGAGCCTCTCGACCCACGTTTCCCTCTATTCCCATGTTCACTGCTGCTCACCTTCCAACCCCTTCTAGATTATTTTTATGGTTCTCTAAATCTCCAGTTATGCCCTTAAAGAACCATCCTCACAATCCCTTTGATTCATGTTAGAAATTTGGCTAAACCACTGAGTCAGGATTCTTCAGGACTGGCTGTCTTATTGCTACCCGTATTGCCTCTGGTCATTTCTTTATCTTACCTCTTCAGTTTGACATCACCTTTGACCCAGAAAAATATCCCCTGATTTTTTTTCCTTCTTATTTTTCTTTCCTCAGCCCGTAGGTTTTGTCAGTTTTGACAGTCGCTCAGAAGCAGAAGCTGCAAAGAATGCTTTGAATGTGAGTACTAACAGTGTAATCACTGGGGGGTTCCTTACAAGTTGGTGGGAAGTATTAGAACCTCAAATGGAAGGAATATGACTTCTCAATCTAACAGGGAGGGATTCATCAATTTAATTAGCCCTCTAAAGAGACTTTTTTCCTAGAATTGTAGTCAGATGTGCAAACTATTAAGTTATACTTTGCTCTTCTCTAGCTAGCACTATAATGTTCAAAATATCTGATGATGAGGGTCTTATTTTAATTCAGCCCAATCATATCCCATGGTGGTATACAGCTTAGTTTGGCCATCATACTCTCAATGGCTAAGCCTAAGCCAAAAAGATAAAAATCTTGGCTTTCCTTATTTCATATGGTTTTTATTTTAGGTATGTGGCTTTTTTATTTTTAAACAGGTCATAGTCTTTATTCTGATTGATTAAAAACTTGCATGTATGGCTTTCCTAAAGGGCATTCTGCATTGTGATATAATAAATGATAGTAAACTATAATTGAATAGAGATAGCTGTATTTGGTTTGTCAGCATCTTGTCTGCCATGTGTTGTGAGACTTTTACCAGCTTTACCTAGTAAATATTTTCCCCCTTTGGTATGTTGAAAAACGAAACAGCCAAGCCGAGAGAAGGTGGAAGGAAGCTGATTTAATTTAGTTCCAGACGCTGAGGGCTGATCTTCAGGTGAGGGGTCTCAGTGAAGAATCTGGCCCCATCCATCCTACTCTCGGCACTTGGTTTAAGTGACTGTGAATGAGGATTAATGTGGCCCAAGTGTCTAAGGGGGTATCTAGAAAGGCAACTGGCCACTTGACTGTTTGCGATCTGGGTGTCATTGCGTGAGCTCTATGAACTTGTCACTGGCCTTTGTGTTGCTCTGGCACCTACAGGTACCCCTGCCAGTTGCTCTCCTGAGTGCCTGGGTGCTAAAACAGGCCCTGCTGAGGAGGAGCCGTACAAGACACCCTGTATGCTGATGATGTGGTGGCCAGGGAAAGGGCCTCCAAGGGGTCTGTTTACTCAACATAATGATGGCATTCTGATACAATCTTGAGAGGTTTTGGGGTTTTGAAAAAAAATACATACACTCTCAGAAGAAATAGTTTGCTTATTATTGTTGGTTTTTTCATGAAAACATAACATACAGGAGCATCTTAGGAATCTAGGAGCTCCAAATAGCTAAGAATTTTTCTGAATTTGGATAAATGACCTTCTGGTCAGAATAATTGCCTACTCTGTTCCTCTTCCACACAACAAAATGTAAACCAATTATTTATTGAGTGCCAGTGGTACACAATGAAGCAAAATGTATAATTGGTTATTTTAATATAAACATTATTTTATGATTTTTGCATTAAATAGATACAACCAGAATTTTCTAAAAAAAAACAAAAACAAATTTGAAACTCGAAAATAAAACCACAGTTTACATTTAGGCAGTGTTCTCTTTCATTCTAACCAGTTGGCATTTTTCTAAATGCAGAAATATTCTGGGTCCTTCAAAGTTACATTAGATGAAGTTTTCACCCGGTTCTTTTCATTGTTCTTCTAAAGGAAGTAACAGCATTTGAAGCTTGTTCACAGATGGGGCTCTTCATTGCCTTATTTTATCTTTGCCTTGTGTGTAAAGATGTCACTGACCCTCTGTCTGAAGAACAGTAGGCTTTTATAGTGACCGCTCTCATCTGACAAAGCCAACCTTCTCTATGGGCTAGGTTATTAAAGGGTCATAGTCAGAAGCTTGTGTCCTTGCCTTACTAAGCAGAGTGTAGTAATATAATTTCAATTTTTCTTAGTGCCTGGGGTTTCTATCATCAGGTATTGAGCCATGCTATAATAGAGGGATAGAGGCCTTTAAGCCCGTCCTTATGCCAGATGGCCCCAGATCATTGTGCTTTCCTGTCCTGAAGGCGAGCTTTAGGTTCTTCTTGTACTCAGCTCTTCCTTACTTTTCACTGGCAGCAAGCCTTCCTTTAGCAACATTAATTCTGTTCGTTGTTCATGTACTAATAACTTGGGAAGAACTCCAAGTGAAATAGGCCTAATTATTCTGTGCACCTAAGGGTAACTCTTAATATTTACCTGTGCAGTACTGAACCTGAGCTTTCTTCTGCTCAGAGGCTGACTTGTGAGTATAGGGCATTTATTGAGCTCCTGGTTGATCTCTTTTCCAATGTGTTTAACTTCTATATATGAAGTATTACAGGTCTTTGCATCTTAGAAACTGTCCTATTGTTATGTTTCAGGAACTGAGACCTAGAGAGGATGGATGACTCAGTTGAGGAAGTGTAGGTTTAGAGCTACAAATAGAAGTGAGCCTCTTGTATCTTAGTCCTGGTGGCAATGACAGACTATTTAATTCACAATGTCCAGGACAGAAGGCCATGATGAAGTTTGGTATGTGACCACAGAGCAAGGTTCCTTCTCTGCAGAGAAAATGGCCCTTTCAGGATAATATACTTAATCCTGAAGCTGACACATCTTCTCTATGACCTGATATATTATGCTGTTTTTCAGGGTCATCTTTTCTAATTTGTGAATTAAAAACATATGATGCTCGCAGCTATTACAAAATTTTCTCCTCTCATGTCATAGGCTTCTCTTAAAAGCCTTCCCTCACATTCCTTTGGGCAGAAAGTTCCATGTTATAATGTTTTGTTTGATTTTATTATTGAGAAACCTAAACCTCAATTCAGCAAGACCGTCTGTATAAAATAGCTCATCGTGTTATGAACCACTTCTCCATTGTTTGGAGCTTCTCTTGTTATTATTTCTCAGTCTTGTTACTATCTGGTTCAGTTATTAATATTACTAGTCTTTTCCCAAAAGGCCTGATTTTTTAAAATTTAATTTTATTTTTTTAAAAGATTTTATTGGGGGATTAGGGGAGGGGAACAGCCAAGCTGTTGTCTTCAATCTTAGTTGTGGAGGGTGCAGCAAGCTCCAAGTCTAGTCGTGCTGCTCAACTCAAGGTGCTGTGTTCAATTAGTTGCAGGTGGGTGTAGCCACCATCCCATGGGGGCGTGGAACTGGCAACCTTGTTGTTAAGAGCGCACTGCTCTATCCACTGAGCCATCTGGGCGGCAGCTCAGCTCAAGGTGCCGAGTTCAGTCTTAGTTGCGGGTGGGCGTAGCCCACCATCGAACAGGTGGTCTCGTTCTTAGGAGCACGTGCTCTCACCAGCTCAGCCATCCTGCCACCTGTTAGCAACTCAGCTTGGGCGCAGCTCACTGGCCCATGTTGGCATCGAACCGGCAACCCTGTTGCTCAGAGCTCGCACTCTTGAGCAATCTCTTAACCAACTGAGCCACTCAGCCAGCCCCAAAATGCCTGATTTTTAAATCCATTTATTTTCTCCCATTTTTACATTATGCTTTAGTCCAGCGGTTCTCAATCTTTCACAGGGGTCGCCTGAGACCATCAGAAAACACATATTTTCGATGGTCTTAGGAACCGAGACACTGCTCCTCTATCCGTCTCCAGGCCCACATGCAGATACGCCCACATACGAGTACCCGGCGACCCCTGGGAAAGGGTCGTTCGACCTCCAAAGGGGTCGCCACCCACAGGTTGAGAACCGCTGCTTTAGTCAATTTGATAATTTTATGGAAAAGCTCAGATTGAGTTAAGTGGTAATGTTGAGCTTTTATCGGAGAGTTACTCATATCTTCTAAATAAATATAGTATATTATGTTTTTATAGCAAAAACTCCCAAATTAAGCTAAAAATAACCCAAACCCAGACTTCCCTTCAGGTTATCTATGTTCCCATTAATCCACATGATTAGAAACCCCATTCATTCTTTAGCTGACAGCAAAATATCTGACCTGTCCTTCACCCTCCACACACATTTGTAGTTTCTGTACCGGCAGTTTTCCATTTTCCATGCTAATGGAAGGGGGAGCTGATAACCTGAAGTATCAAATTATTTTTAGGACTTATTTATAATTTGGGAATGTAAGTCAAATACATTGATGCTGAGTGTTAGCCCGGTTAGTAAAAACTTCATCCGTGGAAATTTTAAGAAGAAACACAGGAAGCAGGTTAGGTTTAAGGTTAGAGACCCTGAGTAATGGTGGGAAAAAGCCATCTCTAGCTCTTCCAACCAACCATGAAGACCCCAATATTGCCATTGTTGCCTAGCTGAAATTGTGTTTTAATAAGAATTATTTGTAGTTAATATTTCAGGTCGACAGACTGGCCGTACTCGTTGCTTGTGTACAGCTCTTTAACAGGCATCGTCTTACACTAGTGTTTGAAAATCGTTCATCTGAAGTCCTTTACAAGGTTGTGTGTGGACTCTTGAGTATACATGTCGTTTTGTTTGATATTCCTTCTCCCCTAATTTTAAATAATTGTTATTAGGGTAGGTTTTATCATAGGCTCTATTATAAATTATTACATTAGAACTAGAGAGTCTGATGTTATCAAACTATGTAATACAAATTGACGTCACAACTAAACATGTAATACAAATTGACGTCACAACTAAACATTGCTTAGGCTAGCACAGTAATTTGCTTTACTCTCAAACTAGCCTCATTGATCTAAGTGATCTCTAATTATCGTTGCACCCCCAAGTCCATTGGGTTCTTTTTTTATATAGTTGTATTGAGATATAACTCACATACTATATTATTCACCCATTTAATGTGTAAAATTCAGTGATTTTGATATATTATTTTCATTGTAATATATATAACAAAATTTGCTATTTTAATGATGTTTTAAGTGTACCATTCAGTGGCATTCATTGCATTCACCATGTTGTGCAGCCACCACCACTATTCCCAACATTTTTTCATCACCCCAAACAGAAACTCTGTAACTATTGAGCAGTACATTCCCATTTCTCCTCCCCTCTAGCCCCTGGTAACCTCTAATGTCTTCTCTATTAATTTGCCTATTCTAGTTATTGAAATATTTGTCCTTTTGTGTCTGGCTTTTTTCACTTAGCATAATATTTTCAAGATTCATTCATATGGTGGCATGTATCAGAATATCACTT